CGATTCTCGGAAAACAACTTCTTCTCTGATAATACATTCTTGTATGAAAACAGATGATTTCTCTGGAAACCTGGGGAATTATCAGAGAACTGAGGAATTCTCGGAAAACTGAGGAATTCTCGGAAAACTGAGGAATTCTCGGAAAACTGAGGAATTCTCGGAAAACTGAGGAATTCTCGGAAAACTGAGGAATTCTCGGAAAACTGAGGAATTCTCGGAAAACTGAGGAATTCTCGGAAAACTGAGGAATTCTCGGAAAACTGAGGAATTCTCGGAAAACTGAGGAATTCTCGGAAAACTGAGGAATTCTCGGAAAACTGAGGAATTCTCGGAAAACTGAGGAATTCTCGGAAAATTGAGGAATTCTCGGAAAACTGAGGAATTCTCGGAAAACTGAGGAATTCTCGGAAAACTGAGGAATTCTCGGAAAATTGGTTGATTCTTTGAATATGAATGAATTCTACGATAAATGAACAATTCTAGTTATAATCATTTTCACTATAAAATCCAAAATAATTGATACATACATTTCACAGATACCGCGACCCACCACCATAATTGTACCACACGAACCTCCGTAATATTAAACAGCCTATGACTCTATCAAAACGTTCAGTTAACTGCCTCAAATTTGACCGTCTCGATAAGCCAGTATCATATAAATCGATTAACACAACAATCGACCATAACAACAGTGGGCGATCCTAAAAATCGATCCTTTCATTAATCGACCAACACACCAACTGACCATCTCAAAAATCGACAATCTCAACAATCGATCATCCTAAAAATTGACGGTTGCAAAAATCGAACATCACAACCATTCACCATCTCCAAAATCAACCATCTCAAACGTCGACCATATTAGAAATTGACCACCTCAAAAATCAAACATCACAAAAATCGACCACCAGCATTCGACTACCAAAAATCGACTATCAAAAGTCCAGCGAACCAGGCCCATTCAATTAGCATTCAACAGCAATCAGTTTCACTGAATGATTCAATTCCGCGCGCGAATAGACACTGCGTTGCATCGCGTCCCCATGTGAATAGTTTCTCCGGAAATCATTCAGTTATGTAATAATCGTCGTCCAAGTTCGACGGGGAGGGGGGAGGGGCAGAAAACTTCTTCGTGGAAACCCCGCCGCGTTTCGTCACCGGGGAGCACAACCGACGCTCGTGCAACGTTACAACGTCCTCCCGATGAGTGTATCGATCTTCGACGTCAGCCCGTGACGCGGGGGATGCTGCTGCACTTGTGCTGTTTCCATCGAGGCCCTCCACCCCGGTTTCGAACACGTTCCCGTGAAACGCACTTTCGCCACGGAAATCCTCGAGAACCCAGCCATTGTTAACCCTTTAACCATGGCCGCGCAAATATAGGGAAGAGCCTTAAAAATAGAGGTCAACAAAATTTCCATTTTACATACTGATTTCTCTGTACGATCTAACCTTTTTATAGCTTTCGAATCTTCCTCTATATGTTATGAAAAATAGTTACAATCAAAATTAAAATTACTTTTTAACGTAAAATTCATCAAATCTAATCTCATCCCAAAAGTAATTAAATTCTAAAACTAACTAAAATAACTCAGTTCTTGTCTAATAGTTCTGTGAAGTCGAATACCAGAAAATGTTAAAGACACCGAAACAGAAAATATGAGTCACAAGCTTCTGGTTTGTTTATGTAATCTGCTTTTATCAGCTGAGCATCTTACTACTTCAGCGATACTGCTCGTCTATCGGTACTATTTTCATTTGGTTAATTGTCTACTATAGCTTATTTTGGAGATAATTCGATTTCAGTAATGTATTCGTCTATACAGTTGGCCCGTAAGCTGCACAAGAACTTATGGTTCGTTCTACTAAACCGATCAAGTAGAATTTAGGTGACAAGGAGAGGTGGATGTGACAATATGGAACCCCTTTTTGTTTTCAGGCGATTTTACAAAAGCAAGTTAACTAATTAATTTAAAGGATAGAACTTTTATTAGGGAATTTTGCTTCATTTTAAAAAATCTATTTTTCCACTTAAGAATTTTCCTGCAGTGGATACCAAATATAGGAAAATTCACCATCTAGATAAAGAGTTTCGAGTAACGAATAAAGGATTGAAAAAAGTATTTAGTCATTTATAATTGATTAAACATGGAAGTTCACATTTTGATATTACAATAAATTATTATATTGTTTTAATTACCTAATTTAACTTTTAATAAACTAAATATTTATAATTACAATAATATTTCTTAGATACTGCTGCTTTTCGCTACAAATTATTCCAATAAAACTGTGCCCAACTCAAGAAGATACCTACTCATGAACAACAGATCTCTGCTTCGAAAAATCTGTATTAATAACAATAAAATTAAACTCAACCTTCATTAGCAAAATTAATCTCTTTCGAAGAATCTCTCGAGACCTGTTACGACGACGAAGAAAAATCAATGTAAAACTTAATAGAACACGGACACAACAGAATCCTTAGACTTTTCCACGACAATCCAAGATGGCGGATGCGCATCGACGGCCTCTCTCTCGCGGAAATTTTCGCCGCGTTCCACGGATACCTCCAACGCTGAAGCAATCGTTTATCAGCCGTTCCCGATAAGACTGTGTGCTTTAATTATCCAACGTACACGTCGCCGATACAAAATACCCGCTATCTGCATCGAAACTCGTAAATGCTCGATGTAAGTTCGTAATAATGGTTCCATCCTTGAACTTAAAACGCCTGCCAACGAGAATGTTTCCAGTTATGCCACAATTAACCAGTTTCCTAGTAATTAAGGACTGGTGACGACGATCTCAAACTGAATTTAATGAACACGAATTTTTTATTTATTTTTCCATGAATTGTGGTGATATACTAATTTCGTTGGTTAGTTATATTGAAGTCATTCGTGGGCCAAAGTGACTAAAAACTTTATTTTTGGAATTTTTTTAAGTTTTAGTACCAAAACAGTTAATCGGTGATTAATGTTTTTATATTTTTATGTGGAGTTCCAATCACTTTGTCGAATGGATGGCTGGTTTAATTTTTCGAGAATATGTACTACCCCTAGCAGAAAATATTTAACACTCATCCGTCCCTTGTGTCAATTTGACACACTTTATCCTAAGAGATTTAATTTTTCATAGACGGGTATGAAACCCTTTAATATACAATCAAAAGTACCTAACCTAACCCTTTAGTATACCTAAATTAGTCAATGTAAGTAATAATGTGTTGTATATTCTATGCCTAAAAGAGGCTTGGTAACTGAAGAAGTCCAGCAATTTACAGAATTTATTGACATTTATATTTATACAGTTAATGCAATTATATTGGCCATAATTCAAAATGATGTTATTCTGTTGTGTAGATAAATGTAGCTGAGGCTCTGTGACTTTTTATTTTATCCCCCATCCGTCCCTTGTGTCAATTCGACACAGTTTTCTCCTAAGAAATTACGTTATTCCGTCATGTGTAGGTAAATTGCGTGAGGCTTCATGGATTTACTTTAAAGAATTTGCAAATTTAACTATTTATCACTTCATTGTATTAATTTTTACCGCTGGGTCAATTTGACAACGAGGGTCAAATTAAGTTGGGAAAATAAGGGGTGGATGAGGGTTAAAAAATTTGTAAATTTAACTACTTGTCTCTACGTTATATTAATTTTTTAACACGGAGGGATAAATTAAGTTAGGAAAATCAATAAACATGCCCAGAATGTGTCTAGAAAACGTGAAGTATCGCCAGCTGCGCGTTATCAGGTGATAAAGTTGATTAGTTAAATTCAATTAAAACACGGATATTTAATCACGATGATGGGCAATGAACCACCGTTTTCCTGGATAAGGATGATGCTCGTATGTTCACGCTTTCAGGATAGCAGCGGTGAGTTCGTTGAAGGTGCTGGGCATAAACGCGGCTAATTCTGAGATAAAACATGGGGCACGCTGTTCGCTCGAGTCTCGCGAGCCTTTTAATTCAACCGAAAGACGTGTTCACGGTGAACGTAAAATTTTCAGTGGAGATTAAATGTTAACAGGGGTAGTCAGTAGCCATTTAAATCTGTGATTTACACTTTACTCTGAGCACTGAGCTTTAAAATTTAAAAAGCTTACATTTTTTTGAAGCTTTGGAAAACTTGACATTTTTATCGTGAATGTTTATATTTAGCTTGGGTCTGTCGGCATATATCTGCGTAATTATTTACTAAATAAAACAAGAATATTATTCTCCTGAAAAATTTTACTGGAAATGTTACTTTGTAAAGCGTGAAAACCAAATCATACATGTGCAGGATCATTCGGTGTATGAATGCTCTTTTTATCGATATTAGTAGTTCAATTTAATTGGAGAAATGTACAGAGTGTTACCAGATTGGTGGTACAATTTGAAAAGAAATGATTCTACCTGAAATGTTGAGCCAAAGATTTGGGAGATATTTTGTTCACAAGCAGAAATCAATTTTGAATGTTCTGCGAGCACATGTAGTGACGTGTCTGACTAAGAAACGCTGTTTCTACTTACAACATTACTGGATTTCTTTTTTTTTTTTAATTAAATATGTTATTAGATTAATGGAAAATCAGTGGATAAATTTATGATTGCAAACTATGCAGAATTTCTTCTGTTGTTTTTATAAGGTAATGAAAATTAGTGTTTGTTAAATTAAAATGAATTATCATAGTGAAAAACACTTCAATCCATCTGTCTAAGAATATGCATAATTATTACTATTATTTTCTAAGTATCACTGTATACCAAATTATTTCTGAATAAAATGGTTGCAAAATTTACCGTAGGGAACTAGAGCTAGAAATAAACAGAGAAACCTAGTTGGCGAAATCTCCAACCTCGATTTACTCGAAAACATAACCTGATATAAAAATATTTTGTTCTACAGTTTAATCTCATTTTTTCAGGTAGAATCATTCTCTATTCAATGGTATTACCGACTGAATACTCTGTGAATGTCATGTGCATGCAAATCGAAGTCACTCACCGTTCGATCTTGTCCATCGTGTTGGGATGATGCAAGATGGTTTGTTGTCCTGACATCTCGACGACGCATTGTGTACCGAGTTCCAACTCTGTAAACCCAAACAGTGGTAATTCAATTATTTCGGAATGTCCCAAATCGATATACACTAGTAAATTATTAATAAAACTGTCACATATCCCATCATTACATCTTAACGAAAATATGTTCAAAATTATGCAAAATTGTGGGAAATAATTTGATCAAAAAGTTAGATTCAAATTCTCCAATAATCGAGTTATTTTTCACCCTTCCGTTCCTACGAACAAGTCACCGAACTGTTGCTTATGCAACTTGTTCCTTTTCGTTACGGGTCACGATTGACCCAACTGTTCACTTGGGCCATTTCTACCTCAATATTCTAGAAATTCAATATTTTGGGATGTAAATTTCTTCGAGGATCTCTGTGATTTTTATCTGACCTGATGTAAACAGTTATTGACTCAAATTAGATATCACAAGCTAATGAGTTATCTAATTGGGCTCTAGATATTTGAGGCCAGAATGGACCCAGAATTCACTGTCTAGGGTCTAATAAAATTGTTCAAACATCTTTGGGCTCCCGACGAGACGTTTCGAACTGTCCAAACGTTTCGAACTGCCCAAACGTTTCGAACAGTCCAAACGTTTCGAACAGTCCAAACGTTTCGAACAGTCCAAACGTTTCGAACAGTCCAAACGTTTCGAACAGTCCAAACGTTTCGAACAGTCCAAACGTTTCGAACAGTCCAAACGTTTCGAACAGTCCAAACGTTTCGAACAGTCCAAACGTTTCGAACAGTCCAAACGTTTCTAACAGTCCAAACGTTTCTAACAGTCCAAACGTTTCGAACAGTCCAAACGTTTCGAACAGTCCAAACGTTTCGAACAGTCCAAACGTTTTGAACAGTCCAAATATTTCAAACAGTTCAAATGTATTAAATGCCTGTCCAATTCAATCAGCTTAAAACGTAAAAACTGTTTGAAATGTTTGAACTGTTTGGTCGCCTAACCGCAATCAAACTCTGTTCAGACAGTTCGAACTTTCATAATCAGAAATGTCCAAACATGATCGTCCTAGCCGTCGTCTTTGACAGTCTTCTGAATTTGTTTCTTCCTAAATCTCGTGTACCTCTCGTAGCTATTGCTACGCGTGTAATGAGATCTCCGATTCATGCATAATGGAACGTATAAACAGAATGCAGGAGACGTATCTGCAATTTGTCGTCTGACGTTCATAAATAAATATTACCGGGCTTCGAAAAAAGTTGTTTTATGGTAACATCATCTCCGATCGCTTCCGTAATACTTACAATTTCTGAGTTGTTTTCGTTGTAATTATAAGTTTACTGTAATAGTATATTATATCGTTCCCGTTCTATTTCTTTTTAATTTCTTTGATATTCTAGGGGGAAGCATGTGGAAATTCGTTTCCAACGAGAAATCTCAGATTAATTTCAAGAAAATCTTTCTGGATCACAGTTTTGTAAATTCAAAGATATTTTCACTTTACTCGTCCCTTTAACTATGACAAATTTAAGGAACATTGGCAACATTTATTCCACCAAACGTCATAAGCTAACGATTAATTTTTTCAATCTGAACCTGATGTTTTGTCGTACATTTTAGCTCTTTGAACTGTTAAAGAACAATCTAATTTGTAATGAATACTTTTCTCAAACCCTTCAATGCTATTACTAGACCTTGGACGTTTCCGCATTCCATAGTAAAACAAAAAAGTTAGGATAGTAAAATACAGATTTCAATAAAGTTTAATGCTCTTTATGTGTTATCGCTGACATTAATGCCTCCAGTACAGGAAATGAAATTCTGTCCAATTATAATTTTTACATATTAGTATATATAACTCTGAATTTTAAAGCTTTCACATCCTATTCATTACAAAAAATTTTTAGTTTTGTAATAGCACTTTTCATTCTCTTGTAATAAAATATCCATTAAACGAATCCATGAATATTCTTTGTATCCTTTAGATTATCTTTGAAAAGTCCTCTTTTTATACAATAATTCATTGTTAGATGAATTGTATTACTTCGTTCGAAAAATAATTAACATAATTCTATCAGTAAAAGTCATAATTCCGTCGAAATGATTGGATTGTTCGATCGTATTTGATCGCGCGTTCTTGTTGACGTTCCCGATCAACAGCCGAATTTACATCAGCCGCTCAAGAGGATTTATTTAATTATAAGTCCTCCCCTGGTGGGCTTGGAACAGTGGCTCGACATTATTCGAGGGACGTGTGACGGCGCAGCCGCCGGATGAATTTTCGATCGGCGAAGATACGCGTCGAGATTGACCCGAAAATTTCATACCATCCTCGGCTAATAATGATCCTGGCTCCGTCGTGGAGTTCACGTATTCATATCCCGCTTGCTGTATGCATAATACAGTTACTCGCTCGAATGTCCTCGCCCATTCCATACGTACGGCACATTTTAAGTATTTAATTAACGTTAACGTCGCAATTAACAATTGTAATTTATATTAGCATAAACCTTTCATTTTCTACTGACCTACAGCAGGCGTTTATAATTAATTAAGAATGTTCCAGATTCTGAATAATATTGATCTATAATTGTTATTTGTATATTGGGTGTACCTAATCAGTGATCCACTATTTCTCGACGAAATTTCTGTCTTTGAAATTCTGAAAAATATGATTAGATGATAATGATTTCTCAACACCTTGTATCATTGTTACTCGGTGGAAGGTAAGGAAAATGTTTTTAATTTAGAATACATCGTGTCATAGTTTAAAAATGGATTAGTGGATTACTTACTGGTACACCTAATACATAGGTACAACGTAAACAGTTTTTTACATTCGCTCAAGTTAATACTTTGGGAGTTATCGTAGTTGTTCCAGTTACATCATTTCAAATAATTGAAGTTAAAATATCTTCTAAACTACTGGTTTTTTAATATGAATAGGTTAATACTTTTGTATGCAGAATTATGAGTTGTATCGATTGACGTAATAAAAAATATACGATTCTATTTAAAAAACCAAACTTAAGCGTCATATGTCCTCTACGCATTTACTTACAAAAAAAACTAATTGCATCAAATTATGACCCCCTTGAAACTATACAACTTTTATTTGAAACATTTTTCACCGAAATCATTACTTATGCAGTAATCGAAGTGATTCCAGTTACGTATTCCACCCTTCGAGTGAAAGTTCACCCATTTTCTATTTCCAAATGCTATAATATGCTTGATTTCTTTCTAAGTATGTTATAACTTGATGTATTAGTCTGAAATATAGACTTGTATGTAAAACACAAATAGTTAACGTTTTATTTATAACAAGAATGTTGTAAAAAACAAAGTAACGGAAAAGTTCCTTGGGTGATATTTCACCCGGATACTCTTCATTTATAAAATACATTAAATACTCTGGTAAAAATAAGTTATTAAATAGTGCTTTTTATGCACATGTTTTTACTTTGTAAGAATTATATTTATATTGTAATATTTTGTCATGATCACTCGATATGTAAAGATATCATTGGGTATAAAATTTTCGTTTCGAAAATTTCGCTTCAGTGATTATATGAGCAATACTATCACAGACCTATATGTGGCGAACATAAAAATGCTATTTATATATGTAATAATTGCAAAATGTAAGGAATAACTTAACCGATGCAACTAACTTTTTATGAAATACAGTATAATAAGTTAATAATAACGTTAATTGGAGCGTAAAGAAAAAAATGGGTGAAATGTCATCCAAGGATCTTTATGTTACTATTTCTGAGGAACGTATGAAGATTAAATAGAACAATGAACGTTCCAGTATGTCCATCCTGTTTCGTTAAAAAAAATTCCTAATTACGTATCGACAGAAGAAGACTCGAAATGGTCGACGAGTAGAAGAACCGATTCGTGAACCGACGAGCGTATCGAGTCATGAATGAACGAACGAACAGAGAAGTTACGGCGTTTTATCGATCCGATTGGCCGAGCACAGGTTGCCGACGCGTTTGAATAAAGTTAAGGCGAGCCGGTCGCTTAGCATGGGATTTATCGCCTCATGCGATTACGTATGCACACGGAGTTGAATGTTACGAGCGTTATGACTCGAGGGCTGTCGTAAGACTGTCATAAGACCTCATGCATGGCTTCGCGACATGCCTCTACAGTCATTCGCCCTCTTGCTCATATTCCTCTCGCTCAAATGATCCATCGATCGCTTCGGTGTTTGTCAGACCTTTCTTTTTGCATGCAGACGAATCCTTTACTTTATTCTTCAGACTACAATCCAATCCTCAGTTTACTATCTTCTTCCATATTACGGTCGAATCCTTATTTCAGTTCTTTAAAGTATGATCTAATTCCTATTTCATATTATTTTATATTATGGTTGAATCCTTATTTTAATTCTTTAAAGTACGATCTAATTTTCTTTTATATTACAGTCGAATCTTTATTTTATTTTCCTTCTACAGTATACAACCGATCCTTACTTTATGCTTTAAATTACAATGTAATCCTTATTTCCTTCTCTTCTAAATTATAGTCGAATCGTTACTTTATCTTCCAAACTACAATTTAATCCTTGGTTTATTTTTCGTCTACATTCCAGTCGAATCCTTACTTTATGTTTTAATTACAATCTAATCCTTATTTCCTTCTCTTCTAAATTACAGTGGAATCGTTACTTTATCTTCCAAACTGTAATTTAATCCTTGGTTTATGTTCCTTCTCCATTACAGTCGAATCCTTATTTTTTATCCTTTAAACCATAAGCTAGTCAGTTTAATTTCTTTGAGATTACAGTCAAATTCTTATCTTATCCTTTAAAATACATTCTAATCCTTATTTCCTTCTCTTTTCGATTACAGTAGAATCGTTATTTTATCTTCCAAAATATAATTTAATCCTTATTTTATTTTTCTTCTACAGTACAATGGAATCCTTATTTCATCCCTTTAAAACTTCAGTCTAATCCTTATTTCATCCCTTTAGAACTACAATCTAATCCTTAATTCGTCCCTTTAGAACTACAATCTAATCCAAACTAGAATTTAATCCGTGGTTGAT